GTCCCCTCTCCCCGCCGCTCTCCCTCGGTCACTGTCGCGTCTCCCAACCTGCGCCACCGGGTGGTGTGACCGCTGAGTGCCCCCGGCACCGGGACCCCCTGCACTTCCATTGCTGAGCTCCTGGGCCCCTTGAACCTCCATTCCCGGGCATCAGAATCCACTGAACCCCCATTCCTGATAACGGAGACCCCCTTGAATGTTCATTTCCGGTCATTGGGACCCCTCCCCATACTCCCTTATCCGTCACTGGGACCCCCTAAACCCCCAATCCTGGGTAATGGAACTGCCCTGAACCCCCATTTCTGGGCACCGGTTCCCCCCTGCACCCCATTATCCAGCAATGACACCCCTCCCTAAATCCCCATTCCTGGGCACTGGGACCTGCTGAACCCTGTTCCCAGCACCAGAACCCCTCCACCCCCTTATATGGAGCTTGGATCCCCCTGAACTCCCCTTATCTGGACAGTTACACCCCTGAACTCTGGGTTGGCAACATTTGGACATCCCCGAATCTCCACACTCGGGCACTGAGGCCCCCTTGAACCCCAAATCCCCAAATCCCCTGAATCATTATTTCCTGGCACTGGGCCCCTCCTGCACCCCCTCATCCTGCACCTGCAACCCCTGCACCCCCTTCCCGGCCATCTCGCCTTTCCCAGACCCCAGACCCGCCCTTTTCCTTGGCTTTCGAACCCCCCGATCTCCCAAATTTCCGAGTCTCCCCAGTTCTCCGTTCCTGGCCCTTCCTGAAAGGGGGTTCCAGGGGGTCCTGAGGGTCCCAGGGTGTCTCAGGGGGGTTTGCAGCGGGGATCCAGTGAGATTCAGACCAGTTCCTTGGATTTCTTCCCTCGATCCCTTTCGCTTTCCCATCTCCCAAACTGCGCCCCCAGGATCCGCCCGCCCCTTCCCTCAGCACCGGGGACCCCTGGATTCCCCTTTCTTGGGGGACAGGAACCCTCTGGATCCCCCATCCCCCCTCTCCCAGTTCCAACCTTGGACCATTCCCGGCTCTCCCAGCTCTGCTTCCTGACCCTCAGACACCTCCAGACCCCTCCAATCTCTGTGTCCCCTTAATTCCCCACCACCTGTGTGTCCTGTGGGGGTGTCCCTGGGGGTTCTGAAGGATTCCTGGGAGGATCAGATGGGGTTCCAGGGGAGATCCAGGGGAATTCCCAGGAATGTCCCCCCTGAACTTTCATTCCGAAGCACTGGGACACCCCCTGCACTCCCTTATCCTGCCCCAATCTCCCCCTGCACCCCCTTTCCCAGCCATCCCGCTTTCCCCACTGTCTCTTTTTCCTTGACCCTGAGACCCCCTGGACCCCATTCCTGCTTTTCCCAGCCCCCAGCCCCCTCTTTGCATCAAGCACCTCTAGGATCCCCTTTCCTGGCTATTCCAGCTCTCCCCACCCTGTGACCCCTCTTTCCTCAACACTGGGGACCCCTTTTCCTTGGCACAGGGACCCTTTGGGTTCCTTGATCCCATCCCTGCACCCCTCTCCTTGACCCTGGCATTCCCAAATCCCTTCCCAGCTCTCCCATTCCCCCTTTCATTGATCCGTGATCCCCCCAGACCCCCCAAATCTCTGTGTCCCCCAGTTCTCCATTCCCTGCGTTACCAAGAAGTGGCGGTGTCTGAGCCTGGCCCGGGGGTCCCCCAGTTCATGATCATGGGGTACCTGGATGGGATCCCCTTCACACGCTACGACAGCGAGCGGGGCCGGATGGAGCCGCTGACACCGTGGATGAAGGATGGACCCGAGCCGGGATATTGGGAAAGGGAGACTGAGACCGCCAAGAGGAACCAGCGCGTGGCTGCTGAGAACCTGGAGACAGCGCGGGGCCGGTACAACCAGAGCGGGGGTGAGTGGGGGGAGCCAGGGCTGGGATGGGATGGGATCTGTGGGGCTGGGATGGATCTGTGGGGCTGGGGGGATCAATGGGGCTGGAATGGGATCTGTGGGGTTGCGATGGGAATCTGTGGGGCTGGGATGGGATCTGTGGGACTGGGATGGGAATCTGTGGCGCTGGAGTGGGATCTGTGGGGCTGGGATGGATCAATGGGGCTGGGATGGGATCAATGGGCCTGGGATGGGATCTGTGAGGCTGGGATGGGATCAGTGGGGCTGAGATAGGAACTGTGGGGCTGGGATGGGATCTGTGGGACTGGAATGGGACCAGTGGGGCTGGGATGGGACCAGTGGGACTGGAATGGGGATCCATGGGGCTGGAATGGGATCTATGGGATAGAAATGGGGATCTGTGGGGCTGAGATGGGATCTGTGGGGCTGCAGTGGGAATCCATAGGGTTAAGGATGGGGGTCTGTGAGGTTGGAGAGTTCCATGGGGCTCAGATGGGATCTGTGGGTCTGGAATGTAGCTGTGGGGCAGGGATGGGAACTGGGGCTGGGATGGGATCTATGGGGTTGGGATGGGAACTGTGGGGCTGCAGTGGAGATCCATAGGGTTAAGGATGGGGATCTGTGGGGCTGGAATGGGGATCCATGGGGTTAGGATGGGGATCTGTGGTGTTGCGGAGTTTCATTGGGCTGGGATGGGGATCTGTGGGGCTGGGAGTTCCTTGGGGCTCAGATGGGGATCTGTGGGGCTGGGATGGGGATTGTGGGGCTGCAGTGGGGATCCATGGGGTTAGGATGGGGATCTGTGGGGCTGGAATGGGAACTGTGGGACTGGAATGGGGATCCACGGGGTTGGGATGGGATCTGTGGGGTTCGGATCTGGATTCACGGGGGTCCAAGGGGCTGAGATGGGAATCCATGGGGCTGGTGTGGGATATCTTGTGATCCATGGGTTTGGGGTGTGGATCCATGAGGATTCAAGGGGCTG